TTCAGAATCCAAATCATGAGATGAATCATCAGTCTCTTAAACACCCAAATTTTCAGGAGCAACCAAATTTTCTGGGGAAAATGTCTAAGGATCTTGAGCATTGGTATTTCAAATTCCTCCCTCATCGCCCGACCGTCCTCTCCCTCTTGAAGCCCTTCATCAAGCCTTAAATTCTGGAAGAAATCCTTATCTCCTTGCACTCCTGTCATGATGGAGTGGAGATTCAATTTGGCCTGTACATCTGCAAACGGTAAAACTTGTGTGCTTGAGATACAGAAACTTGCGACAACTTTGTATAAATGTTTGCATAGTGCCCCTCCGATTTCCGCTATGCATATGGCCATAGTCCAACTTCTGTGTCTACTACATATGAGGTTTCTTTTTCACTGTGCTTTACTACATAGGTATCTTCAGCTTTTTTTTCACATGAAAGAGGTGCTAACTTCTTTTTAGCATTAAAGTACCTTGATAAGGTGTAGTTCGATACTCTATTTGTAATGACTTCAGAAAGTATCCGATCAAAGTAAGCATTAAGCTTTGTAGACACGAAATCAAATAGTTGAGTTATACTAAAAGCTTTCATGCGATTTAGGATTCGATCCTTACGGACCCTGATGTTTGCTTCCGTAAGGAAAAAGAAGTAGGGATAATCATTTTAAAAACATAAGTGACGGTGACAGTAGTAGTGACAAATCAAAGTGGAAGAAAAAAAACAGAACTGGCAAGCACATAACATTCAAAATACTGAAATGAAGTTAACACAATGTCACAATTTTAGTTGATCAAAATTGGTATAACAGCCACTTCCAAATGCCCTCTTGGCGGAGCGATCAGCGAAGCATATCACTCCGTCCGGTCGGAAAAAAACTTTTTATGTATATGTGTGTGTGTGTGTGTGTGTCTGTCCGCACGATAAGGGGCCGTTCACAAATTACGTCACGCATCTGACGGGGGGGAGGGGGTCTCTGCCCGCGTGACGGTCCTATCTTGAAAGCATTAGAAGGTTAGGTTAGCCGCGTGACGTGGGGGAGGGGGGGAGTCAAAACCGCCCGAAATTTGCGTGACGTAATTTGTGAACGGCCCCTAACCTCAGAACGAATGCAAAAGAAACAAGGCGGTGACCATGGTGGGTGTGAAGTGTAGCTCTGGAAGTGAAATTCTAGAGGAAACTCCAAAAAGACCTAAAGACACGTCTATCAAATGCACTGAATGCGAGAAATGGACCCACATAACTTGTTCTAATATAAAATTCAACAAGCTAAATGAAGCAAAAAAGGAGTACAAGTGTGACACGAGTGCTGTGAAGGTTAGGATGTCCAAGAACCCGCGAAACTTTAACATCATGACAAGTGATGAGAAGATGAATGCCAATTCGAAGAAACTAGACAATATTGGAAATGACACCTCTGAAATCGATGATCTCCAAAATGCGGTAGATGGCTTCAAGAAAAAGTAAATACATGCATGCCTTAGCTAACAAAAAAATACACTCGTCAAAACATTTAGCGGTCCACTTTTTGACGCCTGGATTAAATTATCTCCCCTAGCACCTAGGAAGTCGAGATTTGACATAGGCATGCATCCATGTGTGTAGTTTAACATCCTCGAGCGTGAATGTCGTGCGACACCCCTCACGCCGTACGCATCCCCTAATGATCACGGGGGTGGAAAAGTCGAAAAAAAACGTGTAAGGTTAGGGTAGGAGGGGGTGCCGGAAGTGGCTAAAATTTGGAGTACAGGTGTCCTAGGGACCAATTGTAAGGTTTTTGGCCCGTTCCACCCCCTCCGACAAACCACCTACTATCCCCAGTTACCCATACCTCCCCAAAGGGGTGTTTTTTTTAAATCTCGAACGCTACGGGAAATCTTGTGGTTTGACGTGGGCAACGACAGCAAAGTGTCCGTTTCAGTTTCGCAACCCCTGGAGGTCTGTACTACCCCTGACTGTCCAACCCTTAACTGAAATTTCGCCATTTTTCACACTAAGGAGACCTGGAAAAGTCTGAAAACTTCAGTTGAGAATGTGTAGGACGCACTGAGAAAGTCCCCGGTGGAAAATGCGAGTGGCCAGTGAAGTAATTACAAACACACTCAAAGCAAAAGATACGACTGTGAAACTGACCCAGGATGGTATACCTATCTCGAGTGAAAAGATTGCCCCCACTTTCAATAATAATTTCTCATGTGTTGTGCCCAATCTTTTTTTTAAAATGGGATCAAAACGTATCAACACCAAGGAAATTATGCTAAGTCTGCAAAATAAAAGCGACCGAAATGTATGCAGCTCCCCTTTCAAGCCTTCGACACATTGAAAAACAAAAATAATATTACATTTGATGGAGTAAGCAGTAAAGTGCTGAAAGATGCACAAGAGGAGCTCAGCCATGTCTTAATACATCTTATAAATCTATCCTTCAGCCAAAAAAAGGTACCCTCAAAACTGAAGATTGCTAGGGTGACACCTGTGGTCAAAACCAGCCCCAAGCTCGATTGCTGTAATTATCGACCTATTTCCATTGTGCCTCCAATTTCAAAAATTGTGGAAATGGCAGTGCGAGAGACATTACTTATATTTTTGGAGCAATCGAAATTTCTAATACCGCAGCAATATGGATTCAGGGCAAAAACAAATACATAAACAGCTCCTGCTGATATGGTCATCAAAGTACAGGACACCATGACCTGGAAACCATTAGGGGCCGTTCATAAACTACGTAGTTCATTTTGGGGGG